TCACCCAAGAATTCAGTAACTCCCTGACATAACGGGAGTGAATACCATAAGAAACAATGGCTTGTTTGATTCCCTTCAGGCCCTTCTTCTGTATCCGTTCCCACTGGTAAGCAAGGAAACCATCTGGATGCTTCTTTGTTGATAGTTTTTCAGTCCTAGATACTGGGAAGACCATAGGAGATGGCATAACAACCTTAGGAAAATCTTCCTGGCATTTGAGAAGTGTAGGTAAACCTCTGTCATAACCTGTTGCTTGTATTTCAAACTCTGATGTATCAGATTGGAGATTATCTAAGACCTGTAGCCTATAGACCATTGTTTCTCTGATGCTTGAACTTCCTGGGTCAAAAAAAAATCTAAGGACGTCATACAGTCTGTCAGTTTCTTGAATTCACCATCTATATGCAATTCCGAGCATTTAATATTCTCATCCTTAGATATTATCTGAATGGCATGTAAGTTGCCTTCTTGGAACAGTGTTCTATCTGATAGCCGGTCATTATCCTCAGACATGGAATGAATTGTTTCAGTAAGTTTACCAATCTGATGTTCCAGTCTTTGAGTTCTATTAATCAAGTCATCAGACATGGAATGAATGAGCTGTTTCTGCCAGTATGATAATGTCCTCCTGAATGGATTATATTTTGGCTATTAGGACAGTAGTCATGGAACCAATACCATCTTGTAGGTGGTTATTTTTAAGTTCTAAGTTATCGACTTTGTTAGATATTTCCCTGTTGATCTCGAGATTTTGAATTTTTTACTTTAATTTTTCAATAGTTTGCACAATTTCCCTGCTTTCTGCCCTGATATTAAGGCTTCTCTTGCAGAATAGTATATGTATTATGAGGCTATCGTTAACATTAGACACAAATATATTTGGGGCATATCATAATTCTCTCTCAGGATGTCATTCATATAAAAAGCAATGAGATCCTTAACGTTCTGCATGTTAAGATTATCCGCCATGGTAGAGTAGGTAATTTTATCACCAGCTCAAAGTACCAGAATACAAGGCTTATTACCTCTAATTATCTTGGGTTGAGGTAAGGATTTTTACCTGCAGTAACTATGCTTGGCCAGCAGGTGGCACACGTGTACTGCCAAACACAGCTCCATCGCAAAAGCTCAGTTTCCTCAAGGAAAATCTGAAAAATTCTAAGCAGCTTTTACAGATTTATTAAAAGGGAGCCAGATTTATTAAAAGAAGGGAAAATAGCCCGGGTAGGGACAGCCACCGAACCTTACGGTGGGGAAGGAAAACAAACGCTGGGCAGCACGGCTTTCACGCAGCTTTCAGGACACTCGTTTCTGCAGCAGGAATCAAGGTAGAGCAGCAGAGCCGGGGTTGCACAGAAGGGCCGGTCTCTAGAGTGGGAGCACGCACAATGGTGAAGAAACAGCGTGGCTTCTCAGGGGCACTCGTTCTGCAAGCTCCGTGGGTTTGTTGGGCTAGCGTGGCAGGAGTGTTAATTTCTGCAACCACGCTGATGGGAAAACAGGACTGAGTTGGGAAAATCCTGGTAACCCAGGAGAGACTCCTGAGACGTGGCTAGGCGCTGCAGTTGCTGCAGCGGTAAGCTGCGGCTGGTCGGGGAAACCAACACGTTCTGACACCAGATGATGCGGAGGATCACCATACACAGGCTAGGGATGTCCTATGTTATTTTGTTAGGGAGAAATCACTTACATTGGAAGTCGAGAACTAAGGTCAGTGCTCTGCTGGTCTCCGACCTCGACTGGAGCCCCAAGAGAGAGTGACACCCTCCTTCCTTGACCTTTATCTCTGCCTTTCCCCACATACCTGTGACCATGCAAAAACGGGCGTGGTCAGTGCTTCAGGTACGTGAGATCTCTACCTACAAACTACAGCCCCAGATGATCCCCACTCCCGCTTTTTCTTTGGGGGGATAGCATCTCACCATGTAGGTCTGGCTGTCCTGGAACTCGCTCTGTAGACCAGGCTGACCTTGAACTCACAGAGACCCACCTGCCTCTGCCTCCTAAATTCTGGGATTAAAGACATACTCTCCCACACCTAGCCTGTTCTCCCTTTTTATAAGGGCCGAGCCCTAGTGGATTAAGATCCCACTGTTAATGACATTATTGAGCCTTCTTCTTTTATACCTTTCAATATAGTCACATTGGTGGAGTGGGGATGCAGTTGAGCTCATAGCGATGTCTGCTAGCAGCTCCCCCACTGCTGGGTTAAGAATAAATTCTAGATTTTCAGTGAGTCTCCTGGAAACTCCATGTAGCCAGGAACTGAAGGCTGATTGAATATGTGAGTGAATAAGGCAACTGTGGTGCATGCCTCTAAACCCAGAACTCAGGAAAGTTAAGACACAAGTTCAAGACCTCTCTGAGCTCCATAGCAAATTCAAGACCAGCTGGAGTTACAAATTAAAGATCCTGTTTCTTAAAAACAAAGGAACAGAGAGTAAATAATACATTTGGGCACAAATATATATGCAGAGGAGAAAAGAAAGAAAATATCTAAAATTAATATCCATCATGACTAATTAATCACTATGAGTGATTAATTTTAAGTGTCTAGCATCCCACACTTTTTTCCTGACTTATTTCATCGTGAATTGTAGCACAGTCATACAATGCATAAATGAAGAACTCAGTGGAATATTACCAACTCAGTTTCTACACAATCACCACCTAGGACAAGGAATAGACTCTTGCCTGCACTGACAAGTAAGGGAGTACTTTTTTATATAAAATTATTTTATCTTATCTACTTTTTTAACACGTATGTATGGTGCATGTGGTGGCGGGGTACCTGGAGAGGCTGCAAGGGGCCTCAGACACCCTGAAGCTGTGACTGTGAGCCTCCTGGTGTGGACGCTGGGAACTGAACTTTGGCCCTGTGGAAGAGCAGGAAGTGCTCTTAACAAGTGAGTTTCTTCTGCAGCTGTTGTCCATTGCGCCCCCCCCACCTTTTAATATGACTGTTGCACTCAAACCTCGGGCATGTTCCTGGTAAGCACAGGAAGATAGGCTAGGGATAACACAATACCCCCACAGCCTGCCTGCACCTCCCCACTAGCCCGGGAATCAGGCTGTGAGCCTGAATCCTTACAGCCATCGTCAGATTGCTGAGGGCTTGATCCCAAGTGAAGCCCTTGATGAGTAACCGTTCATTTGACCCTCAGAGATGGATGGGATTGGGGCAGATAATGAGGCACAGGGAAGTCTCCTAATTTGTTCAAGTTCATGCCGATAGGAGATGCCGAGCCAGTTTCACCCAGGCCATGAGGCCCGGCCCTTGTTCCTCCTCAGTGATTTCCAGACGAGAGGACACATGACAATCCAGGAGGGTCTCTTAAAACTCCGAATGCTGGTTCCCCTTAGGGTCTCTGCTCATCATGTCTGGGTGAGAGTCCCAGCATTTGTATGTTGCTGCTAGTTTGGGGACAAAGGTTTGAAAGCAAACTTCAGGCTAGTATCCTGTGTCAGTGGCTAGGACCCTGCATCTATGTTACCCTGTGTCAGTGGCTAGTACCCTGTATCCATGGTACCCTGTGTCAGTGGCTAGTACCCTGCATCCGTGGTACCCTGTGCCAGTGGCTAGTACCCTGCATCCGTGGTACCCTGTGCCAGTGGCTAGTACCCTGCATCTATGTTACCCTGTGCCAGTGGCTAGTACCCTGTATCCATGGTACCCTGTGTCAGTGGCTAGTACCCTGCATCTATGGTACCCTGTGTCAGTGGCTAGTACCCTGTATCGGGGTACCCTGTGTCTATGACAAAATAAGCACAGACAACAAGCTAGGAAAGATGGTTTCCATTTATAACCAAACACTGGAGAACTGAAAATAGGAAGAAGTCAATTAAGTTCACAGGGGACAAGGGCTGGGCTGCGGTCGAGGCGGACTTGAACTTCAGTACCTCAGTCATTTGCACCCACCAGCTCTGACACTTCAAGACTGGAGGCTCTCTCACGCACACGCTGGGAGTCAAAGCCACGTTCAGCCACGTTCATTTATTTGGTGGGGGCAGGAGAAACAAATTTATCTTTTTGAGACAGTCTCTGTGTACTGATGGGTCAGACTCAATCTTAAGGTGGTCCTCCTGCCTCAACTTCCCCAGTGCTGGGATTGTAGGCATAGACCAGCATGCCTAGCTTAATGGATTGCCGATTACTAAGATGACATATCATACACATACCTGTTTCTGTTCAAAATGAGAACGAACCCCAAGCTCTTTACACAGGCCACCATTTCACCCTCTGCAGGGTGCCTTCCGCCTTATCCCTGCCTCTCTTCTCCAGAGAGTATGCGATCTCTCACGGTCATTAGCTGTGACGAAGTGTGTGTCGTTTCAGAGCCCCCTGCAGACTTCACTGCATCTGCTCTGTTCTCTCTATTGCTCCAGTTGCTGTGTTTCTTTGAATTTAGCTGTTCTTTCCCCTTCTTTGTGCCCTTTTACAGTTTTCAAAACTGGGACTTTCTGGGGGGAAATAGTAAAGAGTTGAAGTTTGTGGCTCTCGGCCTGCCCGAGGAACCAGCTTTCTGTTCCTCCTGGTTGACTGACCTCAGAGTTGATGGTCAGGCCAAGGGCTGGGCCTCTTGCAACATACGTGAACCCAGAGAAGGCTTTTGCTTCTCATGCAAGGTTGTGCCTGCGTGGGGGAAATGTTCTTTGCTTTGATGCAGGAAGAGCCGCGGCCGCTGCTTGAGACGGTTGCTCTGCTGTTGCAATCTTCTCCACTGCGGCCAGCATCCTACATCTCCCATGCCCATTGTGGTCCAGCACAGCAGCGAGGTAAGGTAAAGGATGCTTGCTCTCCCTCAACTCCAACCTCACCGTGCTAGTTAAGTAATGGCAATCCTACGTCTCTGCCAGTGATTGGTACAGGAGTGTGCGTGAATAAACTCTAGCTGATGAGACAGAAAAGGAACACTGAAGGAGTCTCTGAGACAGTTTGTTTCTTGGTTAACGTAGGAAGAATTTATATGCTCCTTCGCATAACTTTTTCTTTTTTTAAGACAGGGTCTCACGGTGCCATGGTTCAGACTCACCTCAGACTTACGAATCTCCCGCCTCAGCTTCCGGTATGCTGCTATTACAGGTGTGTACTACCCCGGCTTGAAATACCGTTGAATTTTTATTTCATTGTTTGTGTACTTATTTTGGGACTCAGTTCTCACATTCTACCTCATTGAGGCAGACTCGCTATCATTTCTCCTGTGGCTATGCATACTATAGGCCCTCGGTTTACAGATGGTTCTCCTATTTATTCTCCCATCTCACAGGAGGGGTGGTGGGATCATAGCTACATGCCAACACAAGTGACGTTTTATGTTCTGGGGATTGAACTTGGGCTCTCCGGCCTGTGTAGCTAGGATGAACCATTGCCCTGACCCACATTTTTTTAAAATAAAATTTGCAAATATTTCTAACTATTGTATAATTCTCTTTAAGAATATAGCCGGATGGTGGTGGCACATGCCTTTTGTCCCAGTACTCAGGAGTCAGAGGTAGGTGGATCTCTGTGAGCTTGAAACCAGCCTGGCTTACAAAGCTACACAGAGAAACCCTGTCTCGGAAAAAAAAATATTGAGCCAACTGTTAAGTTCTTGCAGAAGGACAGAACTCCAGGGGTCTTAGCTGCCATAGCTGTTACCCAACCTGGAGCAGGAATTAGATTGCTCAGGGTCCACGCCTGGGGACAAGGAACACCTGGATGCTGGCCATCTCCCTTGATGATCCTTGACCCAGTAATCAGATGTGCTGCCTGTTCTACAACCATATTGGGTTTGAAGGGCCAGATATGCTTGTGGTTTAAATTACTTCTCTCTAAACCAGACATTAAGAATTCAACATAGCTGGCACAGAGCAAGGAAAATGAATTCCTTTCTGCAGGTAGGTTTTCTGCATTATGGGAACTCCCATGGGCTGTATCTGAACCTTTGCAAATGTTCGGTTGTGCACTACTTATTAATCCAAAGAGGGCAGCACCCACTGAGCTGGGAATTCTTTTCACCTTGGTCCAAGACTCTCAGGGTTCAGGTCTCAGAGAGCCCCACTTCAGAGGCCCAAGATTTCAAACAAGGCAGTTATTCGCTTTGGTTTCTGTATCAACCTTCTACCTTAGGACCCGCGGTGTCATTACTAACCTGTAAATGGGTGACAGAGCAAGGCAGCTTTCCCTGCACACTTCAGGACAGAAACAGCATGAGAAACACCCTTCCTCCTGCCACAACCAAAAATGGAAGCTTCTCCTATAGGAAGCACTTCCTTTCTGACTTGAGAATGGTAAAGCCCCGCCCGGGTAGTCTCGATCCTTGTCCTTACAGTCTGTGGCGAGTCATTTGTTTCTAAATAAAACTAAGGTACAAAGCATGGGAAGTAGAAGTCTTATTATATTTATGTTTCTGTGACTTGAAGAAGGAAATATGTAAAAGAGGAGAAAAATTCCATTGTTCCTCTCATTATTCCATCCCTACATCATCATACGTAGTTTTGTTTGTTTCCATCAGCACGTTACTTAATATAATAGCGGGCTCGCTGTTATATGTCATACATGTATGTAATGTATTTTGACCATAGTCACCTCCCTTGACCTATGTTGTCCTCACACATACACGGATCGCCTTCTGCTCCTCAGTTTCCCCTCTAATTCCACATACTTCCTTTTTCTTTGGATGACCCAGTAGGTTTCAGTAGGGTTGCTTCCCTGAGCATGGATTCGGGGTTATTTATAGGTAGCTACATCACTGAGGACCATGTCTTCATTCTGCCATCAACCACTAAGTCTCAGAGGAGGATGGGGCCTCATGAGCCCCTCCCTACTCCAAAACACCATGTTGATGGGTCCAGTCTCGTGCCAGTGAAGATCGCCAGAGTGATTGTGAATTCAAGTGCAACATTCATCTCGTGCCAGAAGATGGTGTTCTACAGCACCCCGCCCTGTCCTCTGGCTCTTACGCTCTTCCCACCCTATCTTCTGCAGTGTTCCCGAGACTTGGGGGTGGCGGTACAGCCTTCACTTTATTCTCGTCCCTTTGAGCGGTTATGAGTCTCTGCAGTTATCACCGCTCACGGCAAAGAGAAGCTCTTTGACCAAAGCTAAGAGCAGCACTAGCCTATGGATAGAAATGCAATTAGTTAGAAGCAGTTTGATGGGCACATCATGTCCATTTAACAAAACAGCAGCAGCAGCTTCTCCAGTTTCTCCCCAGCCATGAACTTCTGACCAGCTTTACAATACTAGATGTAAATTCCTTCCTTAGGAGCAGGCTTCAGATCACATCAGAAAGTAGTTTATTATTTAGTAAATAGTCTACTATTGCACCACTGGGCACATCCCACTTGGCTAACTTACCTATATTATTCATTATTATTATTATTATTATTATTATTATTAATTCCACTATCCCAATTGAATTGCTATGAATAATTACATTTTGCTTTTACTACATTTTTTCAGATCATAAAGATTTCATTGTTCAAATTTCTGCGATTTTTTAAATGAAGGTTCTGTGAATTCAATTAAATTTTTAAAAAGTCATTTCATCAGGTACTGCCTATCTGATATGAATTGAACTGTGTCCTCTGTTATGGTTAACTTTAATTAACTTTTATCAACTTGATAAAACCTAGAACTACCTGGGAAGATAGTCTCAATGAGGGATAGTCTACACTGGGTAGGCCTGTGGGCATGTCTGTGAGAGACTGCCCTAATTAATTGGTGCAGGAAGACCCAGACCACTATGGGCTGATACTGGCCGGACCCAGCAGCATCCATTTCTCTCTTGGCTGTGGATGTAATGTGACCTACCTTCATACACTCTTGCACCTGTCACCTCCCTGAAGAAATAGATTGTACCCTGAGCTAAAATAATACCTGTTTCCCCGAAGTTGCTTTTGGTCAGGGTATTTTCTCATAGCAACAGGAATGAAACTAGAAATCACCAAAAAAGATATGTTGAAGGCCTAACTCCTGACATCTATGAATGTAATTTTATTCAGAAATAGGGTCTTTCAGGATGCAGTCAGTTAGAATAAGGTCATGCTGAAGTCTTTGTGTCCTTAATGAGAAGAGATTTTGTAAACACATGGAGAGAAAACTAAGGAGCCCACAGGATGAGTATGTGAGAGACCAGAGTGAGAGAGCTACAAACTAAGGAATGCAAAGGATTGTGGGAAACTACTGGGAGCTAGGCAAAGCAAGGGCTCTTCCCTGGAAACTTAAGACAGTTGCTTCCTGCCGGCAACTTCTTTCTGATTTTCTAGACTCCGGAACCATGAGAAAATAAACTGTAATTGCTCTAAGCCACTGGTTAGTAGCACTTGGTCATAACAACCATCAAGTAAAGCCTAGTGCGAAGACTCAATGTGAAGACAAAAACCAAAACAAAACAAATCTGCACTATCCCTACCAGAGAGGTGGACGCAGTCTAAGAGAAGATACAGCTGTGACACTTTAAAAGGACAAGTAGTATGTTCTAAATATGAATATTGAGGTCTACACACCCTGCAGACAATCCCTTGGAAGTACCATGTAGCATATTTGTCAAAAAAAGTTGAAATTTTAAGTTCCTTACATTGTTTTCTTTCTGCTTGTTGAATAATGTCATCTCTTTTTGCTTAGTTTCCTGTTATCTTCTCTCTTAGCCTGCATCAGTCAGTATCTCTTTCTTATTTTTCCCCATTTTTTTCTAGTAATCGGTGATATTTGTATGTGTGCGTTGTCATTATTCACTTCTGTTTTCCAATCAGCGGATTCATCATTGCTCTCTTTTGGTGACTAAGTGACAGTCCATCCTGTGACTCTAACGTATTTCACTCAGCCATTTCCTCTCCACACCGGTACACAGCCTTGGTCATGTATTTCTCAGTAGTCTGTCTCTATAAAAAGAGACCCTCGCAGAACCTGCTGCACACCGGCTGGGCTAGGCTGGCTGGTCACTTTCAGGACTGCATCCATCTCTGCAACCCTTTCCCCTTCCAGCTCCGGGAGTACACGTGTATATAACCACTGTTACCTGGGGTCTGGGGGCCTGAAGTCATGTCTTCATGCTTGCACAGCAGGGACTTTCAGATGAAGCCATCTCCCCAGCCCCCAAGGTCTTGATTTTTACAGTTGAAACTTTAGAACAATGGTTCTCAACCTGTGGGTCTCGACCCCTTTGGGGACTAAACAACCTTTTCACAGGAGTAGCGTAGCAGATATTTACATTCCAATTCATAACAGTAGAAAATTACAGCTATGAAGTAGCAACAAAAATAACTTTATGGGTGGAGGTCATGAGCAGCTAGCTGTATTAAAAAGGACTGCAGTGTTAGGAAGGTTGAGAACCCCTGCCTTAGAGAATCCTAAGTTAATTTTTGTATATTATATAAACAAAGGCCTGGTTTTATTCTATTTTCTGGTAGGTAGCCTACCTTTATTGATTTAAATGACTCCCATTTTCATAATTAAATGTTTGCACAGACTGAGATTCGTTTCTGCTTTCTCTATTCAAGTCTATTGAATTTGGCAGGGGTAGGAGCGTAATATTTGCAGTCCAATTCCAATTTTTTGTTTGTTTTTGAGACAAGGTCTTGATGTGTAGCCCAAGCTGGTCTCCAACTCACAACTTTATTCTGCCTCAGTTTCCCCGGTGCTCACACAGTGTGAGCCACCAGGCCTGGCCTTGATTTCACTTTAATTTTCTTGCCATCATCTCCAGGTTCTTCTGGCACAAGAGGCTTTGCAGTCACCTTTTTCGTATCTTTCTCGCCTTTTCCTCTTTGATTCTCCTTTGTCTATGCACACTTCAAGATTTGGAGTCATGGGTGAGTTTATGTGTCTAGCTCAACCTGAGTTACAAACCCAGATTTGGAAGCCAGGCTGCTTCTTTCTCTTTCACTAGCAAACAGCAAGAATTACAAAGACCCTAATGGCTTTCCCAGGTGTCTCAGAACCTCAAAGGGCAAGAGAAGCCCTAAGAAGATGGGCATCTTCTACGCCAAGAAGACAATTTACACCTGTGGGGTGAACGCAAGGACACTTCTTGCAGAGGCAGAAAACAAAACCTGCCTTTTCAATCTCTATCCCTTTAAGGAAGTTGGCTTTTATCCTGTAAGCATTCCGTTTGCCATGTAAAAGTTTTAAGTGGAAGAGTCCCAAGATGAGTTTGGCAGTAGTGAGGAAGACGGAGCAGAAAGAGGGGTAAAAACCAGTGCAACCACTCAAAGACGACTAAGGCCTGAAATGAGGCCATTGTTGGAGGCTTACAGAGAGCCAGACAGACATGCAAAGGACCAGTGACTGGTTCCATGTTGGTTGGATGAGAATCCATAGTGACTGGCTACTTGACTTTTAGCCTGGATAATGGAGGATGAAGGGGATGTGTATCCCTCTAAGTCTTTTCATATGGGTTCAGGCGCTTCAGATGACCGCAGATTGCCATCTCCTCTAGAGCTAAACACCAAGAATGGAGGAGGAGGGATAGACTTGGGCTTCAGTGTAGACTATGAGCCTTGTTTGGGATATGTTGAACATGAAGACCATGAGATGTTTAAGTTGTAGGGAGGGGTGTCCCAGATGACATAAAGATTGTCTGGGGGTTGATGGTAGTAGGAGACCAGGACTGGACAGAGAGATTTAGAGTGACTGGGAGAGCTGTAATGGTCAAACATGGGATGTGGAGGAGAGAACCAAGGATGGAGCACTGAAGGGTCCTAATCAGTAGCAGCAGGAGGGGACCTGAAGACAGTCAGGAAACCAGCCACTTAAGAAACCAGCCACACAGAGGGTGAGAGGAGAGTGTTCTGAGAAGGAAGCAGTGGACTGTGACACAGGCCTCAGAGGTCTCCAGGGCATCCAGCAACACCAAGCCTGCTGTAAACTCCAGTAGGGAGAAATGCCAAGTCCTAAATGTACAGGGAAGGCAGAGCGTGAGGGGCTGGCCCAGGTGCTGCCCAGAATCACTCACTCTCTGCCTGTCCTTGCTCAGCTCTCTGTCCCAAGGACACGGTGGCATCATTCACAGGCTTCTTGGACTGTTGTATTTGACCCTGGTAGGTCATGAGAGGAGCTCGTAGCAGGGACGGGGAGTGGTGTATAGTTCTCAAGTCCTTTCACATGGGATGGGGCTTGCGCTCAGTCAGAACTCCCTGCTCTCAGTCCAGGCTTCGGGTGATGATGGCCTCCAGCCTCCTCTCTGCCCCAGCAGCAATTACTCTGCCAGGCCTATGATTCGCCTCTGCTCTCCTGTCTGTACCCCTGCAGACAGCCCTTTGTTCAACCCTCTTTGGGTTATCCTATTTGGAACATGGCATCTGTCTGTCGGAGCCCTACATGTCCAGGGGAACGTTGGCTAAGAGGAAGAGAGAGGTACACAAAAGCCAGGAAAGCTTCGTCCCAGCTTTATTTTCGAAGGGCTGGGAAGGATTAGATCTATTGACAAGCTCATGAACTTCTAGATCCTATTTCAAAGGCATGACCTGGAAGGAAGAATAAAGAGATGCCCAGCTCCTTGCTGGCCCTGTCCTCTGTGACATTACGAGTGGCCTCACTCCCATTGCTTCAGGGATCCTAGAACTTGTGTTTCCAGTTTGCCTAAGACAGTCTGCTTGCCAGGTTTGCCCATGGCTGTGTTGGCGAAGGTTGGTCTGAGCCTCAGTGGATGAAACAGCAGACACAGAGGCAGCAGAGGAGAAAGAACAAAGAGCAGGACCTCAGGAGGCCCCAGCGCACTTCACCAAGCAACGTGGCTGGTGGCATTTTAAGTCTTGCCAGGCTGTGAGCAGACCCGTTCACCTTGCCAGGCTTGACTCGGGTCTCTGCTTTGATGGCACGGCCCTGCCTTTCCCCTTTGAGCCTGGGTTCCAGCCTGCCGCTGAGCAGTTTCCTCAACACTCAACTTGGGCTCGTTTCTTCTCTTCCTCAGATCTCTTTCAAACTCATTTCCTAGGCAGTTCTGTAAGTGGACTTTTCTCTGTCCCGCCAGTCAGCTCCCAAATCACAACACATGAAAGCTCGGCTGATAGCTTAGATTTGTTTTTAGCTAGCCCTTAAAACTTAAATTAAACCACTTCTATTAGTCCGTGTGCTGCCCCGAGGCTCGTTTAGCTGGTCTACGTACTGTCCAACCTGCTTCCTCTGTGTCTCCACTCGACTCCACCCTTCTCCTTCCCAGTGTCCTCTCTGCCTCCAAAATCCTGCATAGCTATTGGCCATTCACCTTTTTACTAAACCAATCTGAGTAACACGTCTTCACAGTGTACACAAGATTACTCCACGTTACAGTCCGGAGCCAACGGGTCACCAAGCTTATGTATTCTCGGTCACTTTATTTGTGATCTCTGATCTGTCTTCATGTCTCTCTGGTGTCAAAGCCGTCATTACAACCTCTCGGCCTTGGTAAGGACAGTCTTGACAGTTCTCCCTGCCTCTTCTCTCTACAGTCCTTGAGTTATGACCTCAGGGTCACTCCTGAAACATGAGCGTCAGTCACCCCTTGCTTAAAATTCTTTTGTAGTCCCCAATGCTTCTTAGGTAAAATTCTTTAAAGAAAAAAAAAAAGAGCATGGCTCAGCAAGATCCCCTCAATCTGACTACAGACAAATCTATCCCAAGTAAATAATGTAAATATGGAGAAAGAACACAAGGTAGTTTTGCGTTAGTACGATGAAATGCCTGGAGCAGGCACTTTTTTATGGAAGAGGTTTATTTAGCTCAGGGTTTTAAAGGCTTATGGATCAAACCCCACAGCACAGGTTCTGATGAGAGTCCCTTTGGCTCCCTCGCCTCACGGCAGATTCAGTGAGAAGAGCATGGTAGGGGATCAAGAGAACACATCTCCCAGCAGGAGGCTAGAGAGACTGGGGTCCCACAATTCCTTTTGTGCTATTACCCTCAATTGACTTAAGGTTCTCCCACTAGGCCTCCCCTTTTAAAGGTTCCATCAGCTCCCAATATCACCACCCTGGAAGCCAAGCCACCAACAAATGAACCTTGATAAAACACATGTAAACCACTTCTAAACCTCAGAACATGGGTAGCACGCGTTGGCCAGTGTAGTGGGTTTCTATACCAGGTCATCGCAAACTTTTGCCTACTCACCATCTTAGAGCTGTGGAGGGGCTGGAGTTTGCATGAGTCTTGGTGTGCTCAACAGGTGGGGCAACCAGTGCCCGTGGCTTTTCAAGCTTCTAGATGCTGGACATGGGAGGCCCAGGGTTCCCAGTTCTCGAGACCTGCAGCACTGCCTGAGCCCTTCTTACCTGCCATCTCTTGGGTTCGTTCCCTTTCGCCTCCTCTTCTGTTTAAAACGTCCTTTGTGACTATACTGGGTAACCCAAGAAAAATCTGGTCTGGGGTTGTTTGATCAGTGAGCTGGCAAATTCTGAGGATTAGGGCATGGACATCTTTGAAGACACGTTTGATTAAAACTAGAGGAGCAGTTGAGATGTGTAGAAAGTAAGTTAAGCAGCTGGTGAGATGACTCAGTAGGTAAAGATGTTTTTTTGTGTGTGTGAGCTTTTTGGTTTTTGTTTTTAAAACAATAGTTTTAAAAGTGGGTTTTTGTTTTGTTTTGTTTTTAAGGAATGCGAATTAAGGCAGAAAGTCTAGAATTAAGAATGAGAAGCTAGGTGTGGTGGCACATGCCTACAATCTCAGCACTTGGGAGGTAGAGTCAGTGTTCAAGGTCAACACAGGCAACAAAGTACGTTTGAGAGTAGCCTGGGCTACATAGGACCCTGTCCCAGAAACACTAAATAAAAACCAAACAAACAAGAAACAAAAGAGTAAGAATCTCTCGGTCTCTCTTATTCTTCTATACTCTCTCATGACCTTAGCAGGCCTGGTCCAACTTAGACCCATAGTATTGAGAGTGGAATTTCAGCCCACATGTCACTCAGCTGGGCAAAACAGTAACAACCGCCTTCCTAAACCCCAGTTTCTTCCCCTGAGAAGGAAGAGCCAATGCCTGCCTGTCTAGGTCACAGGATTGTCATCATCAGAGCTGACCTGCTTCTGCAGAGCTTAGCTTTGACACCCATACAAATGTAAGTCATACCCTTATTTTGTGCAGGTAGTGGGAGTGGGGGGGAGGCAGAGTGACTGACAGACAATGAATGAGTGAGCTCAGATGGCTGATTCCTTGGTTTGACCACAGACTTATTACAAGCACAACCTCAACTATCTTATTTTAATTAAAGACTTAATATAGCAATGACCTTATCTTTAGAGTACAAAGTAACATTCATGGGATCACTGTTATGAAAACAAACTCTTTCCCTTTAATATCTGACACCAGACTTTCTGTGGGACAAAAATCTTGCTGTTGTTATTGTTGTGTCTATTTATTTATTTATTAATTAATTTATTTTTGAGATAGGATCTTGTTATGTAGCCTTCATATAGACCAGGCCGGCCTTGCACTTGGGTGGTCCTCAGGCTCTGCCTCCCCAGTGCTAGAATTACAGGTGTGGTGTACTCACCATAAACTAGCCAGAACAAAATCTTTAATTTGCCATCTGAGACCTGGATTACAAGATGCCCTGAGGCATCTATCATGCGAAGTATATGCAACTCTTTCCTTTTGCAAAAAAAAAATGTTTTATTAAGGACTTAGAGAAAATTTGTTTGTTTTGTCTTTTCTTGCTTTAAATTTTAAGCAGAAATGGACTGCTTTATTGTGTACAATGATAGAGAGATAAAGAATTATGTAAATTTGAGGCCTGCTACTCACCATTGTGGAGGCTATGAAAAGGGTCCTTTCATTTCCTTCATCTCTGTACCCTTGAAAGTCTGGATCCCCTGACACACAGCTATGATATTGATCGAAGTTAAAAATAAAAGCATATGCAACATATCCCCTCAATTACATATGAATAGCAACCAGACTCAAACATTGGAATAGTTCACAGGGGAATTTTATAGATTTTTCCCAAGTATCTAATGCCCACCAACCCACTCCTTTCTCTTTGGTCCTAATCTGCCCTTGCTATGATCAAAATGGTCATGACAAACACCATAACAAAAAAAATCCACATGAAAAACCGGTCTATGACTCTGGCAACCTTCTTCCACTCACTGCCCTTGGAGTTGGTGGCCTTGTGGTCTTTGAGGCACTTGGCAATGTACTCAATATTTCTCGTCAGCACTTCGTAGCGAGCACAGGAGCTATCAGTGTTCTGAGGGGTTCCACCCTGGTACCCTAGGTCATTCTTTAAGAGTTTGTTCATTTCCTTCTTTCTGGAAAGGTCTTTGTTTCTGGATGTTTTCAGGTTGGACCCTGGGAGTGTGTTATAAACCTTCATGATTTGTTCTGGCTCCTGGCTGTGTCGGGGGCTGAGGCAGCTCTCACCCACATCGTAGACAAACAAGATCCTGGACATGTACTTCAGGATGACCACCTTGGCCCAGTGTGGCACTGGCCGGGCCTCGGCCCCACAGAAGTGGATGTTCATGACCATGATGGTAAGGGCTGTGGAGGCCGTGATCAAGGCCATGGTGGCTATGTAGTATTTGCCTGGAATGACAGTGGCACCAAATAAGTTCATTTTCATACCCTCTTCATAGTTGATGAAAAAGAAACAAACACCTTTCCTACACAAACTGGTCTACCCTAATGGTCAGCAGTAGAGACTTTTGAATCTGAAGTCCAGTGTTCGCCACCCATGAAACTCAGAACTAACCATAAAAGCCTGTTGAACTCCAACTTTAAACTCTATAAAGCAAATGTTAACAATAGTGTCCAACTTACAATATGGTAAGATATACCATAAATGATATCTGTAAAGTATTCAGTGCCATCCTTGACTCTAATTCAAAAGGTTCACATGTTTACCAGGATGTGAAAAAAAAAAAAGCAGTCAGTCTCACCAGATCAGCAACGAATGGCCTTTGACCTGTTCTCAGAATACCTCCAGGCCTCATTGTCATGGGACACAATCACTACTGCCCAAGAAATGGGCATTTAAATGTTCATGAAAAGGGGACACGAGGAAAGACATGGAAAGGGTACAGATTGGTGAAACAAATATTGAACAACAGTACAAACAAACAAACAAGCTAGCAGTTAGAGCCCAGAGTTGAGGAGATGACTCAGTGGGTAAGATCACCTGCTGTGCCAAGTGTGAGGGCCTGAGTTTGAGTCTCCAGCATCCATGTAAAAAGCCACCTATGACTCTTTGTGCCTATAATCCCAGCATTGGAGGGCAGTAGCAGGTAGAGCCCCAAACCTCACTGACCAGCCAACCTAGCTTAAATGGACAACTTCATTTAAGGGAAAGTCCCTGCCTCAGTGCAGTAAGATGGAGAGCAAAACGGGGAGTGGGCCTGCTCCTGCCTCAGCATGACCTCAAATGTGAGTGCACGGGCATGAGCACCCACCCACCCCACCCTCATTCCCCACAAATAAAAACAAGGGCAAGCTTTTGGAGAGAGGAATAAGATGAGCACGGTGATTGACACCTGTAATCCCAGCTTCTCAGGTGGGTGGAGGTGGGCGCTTGTGCCCAGAAGGTAAAGGTTAGCCTGCCCAACAGACAAAGAGGCCCTCTCTAAAAGACTAACACAATTGGCAAATCTTTAATAAGGTCACTCACGGGGAGAGGAGAGGAAGAGAGCAGGCCTTAATCCTAAAAGATGGCAGGAAAGGAAATAGTAACTCATCTCTCTTACAGACATACTTGGAAAAGCTTTTTTTTTTGTAATGGAACTTTTAAATATCTTTCTATTTATTTATCTGTTTCTTTCAGATAGAGTTTCATGTTGGCCGGGGCTGATCAAGGCTGATCGTGAAATTCTAATCCTTAAACTTCCACCTTCTAAGTGCTGAGGATTACGGACATGATTCACCATGTCTGGGTTCCTGAGGTGACCCTTCATGCTAGGCAAGCGCCCTACTGACCGAGCTGTACCCGCATCTCCCTGCTGTCTTTTTATTTACTTATTTTTTGGTGCTCAGGGTTGAATTTAGGGCTTCCTGCCTGTTAGCAAGTGCTCTTCCACTGACATACATCACCAGTCCCCAGAGCATCTTGATATATCGAGAAAAAGGAGGCTCTGGTTGAGGAGTCCAAAATTTGATACGGGAAAGCCTATTGATGTAATTCACCACGTTAATGGGTGAAAGGGAAACCTCATGCAGTTATCTTACAGATGGAGACAAGATGCTTGGCAATTGCCTTGCCTGGGACAGCGTCGGCAGGCCTGTCACAAAGGAGCTGTGAATGAATTTACTAACAACGGAAGACAGAGTGGAGCTTGTTCCATACACTGCGCGACAGCTGCAGTGAGCAAGACAGAGAGAGAAGCTACACAGAGGAGGGCCAGCGGTGGCTTCTGAGTGGTGGGGAGTTGCAGGGACACTCATGGGGAGTTTCCCGGACAGTTAGGCAGTGTTGCAGTGCCGTGGAGTCCCAGGTTTATTATGATTGGCAATAACCTGGCCTTGATGTAATTCTGGTCTTGGCCTGAGTCAGAAATGACTCGGTGTGACCTCCATCCCAAACTCTAAACCAGTGCCTGGAGTTTGCAGTCATGGCTTGTTACGATGAATTTTTCCTGATGTTCTGCTGGGAGGCACCTGCGGCCTTGACCTCAGTCCAGTCTGATCTGAAGCAAAGGTTCTAAGGTTAGGATGGCTCAGCACAGCTATCCATCCCGGAACGTCACCCGTAATAACGTTTAACATTCACTTATTATTTATTAAAAGCTCCTGATTGTCTATAAAGGGAGTATAGGCCAGAAACATGCATGAAATGCTGCTTGTCCTTCAGAACATGTAAACATGTTTGTGTACTGTAAGAGCGAAAGGGCTGGGTTTGTAGCTCTTGCCTAGCACGCGTAGGCCCTGGGTTCAGTCTCCAAGCACAGGGCAGGGTGGAGTTGGGGGGAGAGACTGGGAGCCTAAAGGTAGGCATGGTGGCTCTTAGCTCTTGGGAAACTGATGCAGGAGAAATGAAAACCCAAGACCAAGGCCAGCCTGGTTGCATGGTGAGATGCTGTCTCCAATAACAATGATAACCAAAGGCGCACACTTCACAGGTGCTGCAAATAAAACGCTGTGATTTTTAACACAGGTTCTCAAAAATCCGTGTATACACATTCTAAAAGACAGATCCCACATAACCATAGAAACGATTAATGCTCCCCAAATTCTTGTGAGTCATCTCTCTTTAGAAACGTACCAACTTGTGATTGAATGTCACTGCTAAGGAAGAGAGGGACCTGTCCACGATTCCACTTCAGACAGAGTTATCATTTATGGCTTGGATCTCGGTTTTGTTTGAGGTAGTCCTTGAACTCTCTCCTTCTGCCCCCAAGTGCTAGGTGGCAGGTGTCTGTCTCCATTCCTAACCAGTGTCACTCATTTCTGTCTCCAGAGAAGTAATAAAAGTACCAGGACACCTATGCCTTTCTTTACTAATGGAGAAGAAAACCTGTGTTCATTTTAGGGAGGTGTGTGTGTGTGTGTGTGTGTGTGTGTGTGTGTATCTGTGTGTTTCTATTTGTGTGTCTGTGTTTTTTCAAAGAGACATAAAAGGGAAAACCGCCGGGCGGTGGTGGCGCATGCCTTTAATCCCAGCACTCGGGAGGCTGAGGCAGGGCTGGACCGACAGCCTCCAAAACAATACAGAGAAACCCTGTCTCATAACCCCCCCCAAAAAAAACATAAAAGGGAAAACCATCCAGGTGTGGTGGTACCACCTGTAATCCTAGAACTTGGGAGATGGAGGCAGAAATTCAAGACCAGCCTGGGCCACATGAGACCCTGTCCCCCAGAAAATAAAAATAAAAAAGGAATATGTCTATAAAAACCAATGCATCACTGCCTGAATACTGGGTAAGTGGGTTCTGTAGTGAACAGATGGTCACACAGCACCTGCTGACTATTGTTCTCCATGACCCCGAGTTCTAAAACTTTACCTGTGCCTTATTTTAAGGAACTAAAACTTAAGTTTACTTTGGGTTCCAGTAAGCATCTTTTATAGCAGCATATCGAGGTGTCGGATTGAAGGGGTCCCCTTGGTGGCCGTGGCGGGAGGTGTTAAAGACAGTGGAGGGGTCTCAGAACAGCATAGAAGCAGGCATGGCAGCCTCAGCCTCCACTTCAACCCTTGGTTACAGGTTATATTACTGCAGTATTTAGTGGACCATTCAATTCAAACAGCCATGCCTATAGGCAAAGATGCCATCCGCAGGCACTGAATGGATTTTGTGAAAACATTAGACCAGTTGTTTCAGTTTGAGGCACGCACACCATCCCAGCTGCTGCAAAGCTAAGCTCCGAGTATATACTCACCTATCAGAGGCACATTTTCTGAGGCCGGCATGATCTCTGCCACCATTAGCTGAAATACAGTCATAGCCAATAGGATGGTCACTCCCAGAGAGACCTTCTCCCCTGAGGCTGCTGGGAGATAAAAACTCAAAGGAGCGAGAAATGATATGAGGACACAGGGGATGAGGAGGTTGACGATGTAGAAGGAGGACCTCCTCTTGAGAAGGAGAGTGAAGGTCACGTCTGGGTATGGCTCCGAGCAGCAGCCATAGGAGATGACATTCTTCACTGCAGGCATGCCATGGACCTCCCATTCCACATCTTCAATGAAGTCGGAGAGGTCGCCACTGTCCAGGGCATTGAATAAGTCCACCTGGTTGCCGTTGTAGGTCCAGGAACCAAATGTCAGGTTGCACTGCTGGCTGTCGAAGGGGAAATAGGTGACATCGACCACACAGGAGCTTTTGGTGATGGCTGGTGAATCCCAGGTGATGAGCCCATCATACCGCAGGACCACATTGGTGTTTACAGGTTCTGAAGACTCGTCGTCAGCTCTGGAGAGCAAATGGGGACCATGACAAGCACTTGCTAAGGAACCTTACTGACTTGCCCCTGAACACCTCACCACCCATGTCTGTCACTTCAGCATCTTTGGCAGTGGGCCCCATTTCTCTGTCCCTCTGGCATGCGAGTTTGGAATCACTTCCAAGGCATCTTTCTCTCTCCTCTACCTCCTGAGACCCATCTGGACCACTTCCCTTACCATCTTTATAAAGCATCTCTGCTGTGTTCCTTCCAAACCTGAGCCAATGCTACCCATGATCTGAACATCCAGAAAAAAAGGGAGTCTGTCACGGCTAAAATTCAATTCTCTGGTTTTGTTGCTGTCATCAGCGTTGAGTGTGTTTATTTAGAAAACACATAGGAAAAAGTCGTGCATCTGTAATATTACAGAGGTCCACTATTGCTGACTTTTAATTATTTGCTCTTTGGTGGGTCCACCACCTAGTTCCCATATAAATACACAGAGACTTACCCTTACTTACGAATGCTGGGCCTTAGTCTGACTTGTTTATAGTCAGCTCTTCTTATCGTAAATTCCCTTCTACCTTTTGCCTCTGGGCTTTTACCTTTCTCTATTTCTGTATATCTTTCCTTTCCTTCTTATTATGTGTCTGGCTCTGTGGCTGGGTGACTGACCCCTGGAGTCCCCTCTCCTCTTCTCTTGCCCCTACCTTTCTCCTCCCTATTTATTCTCTCTGCCTGGCAGCCCTGCCTATTTCTCTCTCCTGCCTAGCTATTGACCATTCAGCTCTTAGTAGGCCAATCAGGTGTTTTAGACAGGCAAAGTAACACAGCTTTACAGAGTTAAGCAAATGCAACATAAAAGAATGCAACACATCTTTGCATCATTTAACAAATGTTCCGCAGCATAAAAGACTGTAACACATCTTTAACTAGTTACTTGTTTTTGAGTTTTTAAAGATTTTACTTTATTCAAGTTGTGGTTTCACAAGCACTTAATGCCTTGCAATAGTGATATTCTATCATGAACTATTTCTCAGGATATCTTCTCTTATTTTGTCAATCTGCCCCTGCTATTTCTAGGTATGAAAACTCTATTTTCTTTAGGGAATTAGTCTTCCTCCACTGCCATTACAAGACAGGGGCACTGTCAGCATGAGCTTATGAGCACATAGCTTGCTTCTCTAATACACAGTCGCTGGTGGGGTTTAGTTTAGTGGCTGTGTATGCTTGCAAAGAAGCATTTCGGTAATGCTGGTGGGGAGAACCCTGTTTATTCCATTTGCTCCCCAGAGAGAATTGGTGGAACCCACAGAAAACGCTGAGAGATCATCTATGTCAACTGAATTCTCAGCTCTCCCTTTGTGGGTGAAAGTGGCAATGGATTCTGTGACTCATCTTCTTGAAGGCAGGGTGGAGAGTGAGGGAGAAGAGGGGGAGATGGAGAAGGAGGAGAAGGGGTAGATTAGAGTAATAAAAATCTCAGTTCTTAAATGTCAGCTTGCTTGGAAGGTGCATGGAACATCCCCCTGGGCACTTAAAATGGGGAATGGATAGCAGCAGGTCATGCCTTTGGGTGGGCTATGCGTATGGAATGAGTAAACTCAAGGCTGCCACCCATCACTGTTGCTTCTTTAAGGGGTCTTCATGTCCACTAGGAGGTTCTGCCCAAGGAGCCCTCCCCCAATAGCCTCCATTTTTATCTGAACCACAGAAGAATCCCTCTGAGTCCACAAGAGTTTAGGTCACATAGAGAGAGGGGAGGTTCCACGACAACAGGCAGGAGATGGAGACATTGAGCTTGAGTTGGAGCCAGAGATCTGGCTCCTTCTGGATGTGTAACCAGTGGGCTAGCAGCACCCAGTGCCCTCTGGAGCCTGCAGGAATGCAGAACTGCGGGCCCACCCTACTACTACCGAACTCAAGTCTGAGTTTTGTCAAAAGCTGTAGGTGATTCCAAGTATACTTTACAGTCTGAGAAATACGAACCGTGCCTACACACACAAGGCCCCTTGCTCTGAGAAGAGCCAAAAAAGTTCCAAGATGCCATCCTCCCTCGATTCCATTCTATGGTCTGAAATCCACAGGACAGATTCTACGTGGCACATTCTATCTCATCTTAGTGGCGTTTCTGTCACATAATCTTTGGACCATGAGCAGGTTAAGTTGTATCTCCAGAAATTCTTGCATTGAAGTCCTAGCTTTCCAGCATCTGAGAATGTGGCCTTATGGAAGAACAGAGCTAGGTTGGAACTTGGGAGGATGAGGCAGAAGGACTGTCAGACCCAGGACAGCTTGAGCAAAACAGCAAGATCCTCTCTTTAAAAACCAAGCAACAACAACAAACAAAACCATGTGAGATGAAGAGGAGACGGAAAGGGGGAGGAGCAGAAGGGCTATGGTAGATACAGCAAGTTAAGATGTAGCTCATGCGGGAACAGGGTGGCCACCTCAGTCTGGACTGCAAGTCCACTTACAAGAGAAGGGATTTGGGCATGGAACATACAGAGGGAGAACCCCCTGTGAAGATGAAGCCAAAGATCAGAGTGGAACTTCTACAACTCAAGGGACCTGGGGGATAGCAAATGCTAGAAGCTGGGGGAGAGGCATGGAATAAGTTCCTGTTAGCAGCCTACCGACACCTTTGTTCTCCAGTGAACTGACAAGTGCCTCTTCTTCAGGTCACCAAGCCTGCGCTTATAGTTTATTCCTTAAAAAACTAACACGACCTCCAATTTTGCACCTGAAAAGGGGAATATAAAATTTGATAGTCATCTTTCAACTCTAGGCTTTTAGGAGCTGATACCCTATCATCTGAGATTTGGACTAGGTACACAGACTCATACTCTGCATGTGTTTTAAATGCCTCTTGACATCATGTAGGTTTCCACTACATCAGTAGGTTCACTGCTGGGAATCGTCTGGTCTGAGTTGCTTACTTGTTGGGGAAGTCTTATGTCAATAAAGCACTGTTGAGCCAATAGGAATCTAGATAGGTGGGACTAGGAGTCCAGGAGGACTCTGGGAAGAAGAAACACAAGGGAGTCGAGATGTAATGCCATGGGGTAGGAAGCCCGGAAACTTCTCCGGTAAGAGACATACTCAGATTAATAATTATGGGGTAATTACTTAAGTCAGAGCTAGCCAGTAAGAAACAAGCAAGGCCAACAGCTTCATAATTAATACAGCCTCCTGTGTGTTTAATTGGGACTGATGCGGCTCTAGAACCAGGCTGGCGGGAAGGCTTCTCTCAAGGAAAAAGCTTCTCTTTACACTTACTTGTTGTACAGGACAATGTCCGGCCTCCACACTAGGTCACTGGGGATCCTGATGGAGTCCAACCCATCGTATTGGTCTCGGTCCCACGTGAGATATGCGTCGTGCCAGGTTTGGCGGATCCACAGATAGGCTGTCAGAATCTGGTTTCTCTCGTCCTGAGCAATGAATCCAAATGTCACTTTATCCAGCACATGCTTTCAGCTTTGGGACACTTAGTCTTGATAGCAGGAATCTCAAGAATGCCCATCTATTTTCAACCCACAAGCAAGACATTCCAAAATTCTATGTGGTTGATTGATTAGCAAGGCTGCATCTAATGCCTCCTTGATGTAGTGAGCAGAATGTAAAAGAGACAGGTATTTAAGACTTCATATCTTTCCATGAACCAATTGTTCAGTTTTCTCTGAAATTGGATCAGCTAATGATACACTTGAGCCAGGAAGTCAGGAAATATCTACCATTTGCAAAAGAAAACATCATTCAAATCTCATAGCATTGTATAGTTAAATATTTATGTACAGGAAATCAGCCATGCCATTTTAAAACACCTTTCTTTTTTAAAATTGTGATTAAATCCACATAACATCTAAGACTTATTTTTAGAGACTGGAGTTAAATGTGTGTACTGCTCTTTCAGGGGACTTAAGGTAAATTCCCAGCACCCATGTCAGGGGGCTCCCAACTGCCTGTAATTCTAGCTCCAGGGGATCTCTTCTGGCCTCTGCAGTTACTGCACTAACATGCACAAATGAACACACAGGCACACATATACACACAGTTAAAATGAAATATTAAAAGCTCCATTTTAGTCATTTTATAATTGTCAGTGGCTTCCAGTAATTTACCACACTGTATGATCATCTCAATTATCTAACTCAAGGACATTTTCATCACACCTAGAAGAAACCCCGTAGCCATTAAACAGTCACTGGTCCCTCCCCAAGCCCCTGGCTACCAATGCTCTGTTTTCTGTCTCAATGGACAGACCTATTTTGGACACTTTATGAACAGAACCATACCACATGCAACACTGTTTCTTTCGATTGCCTTAGACTGTTAGTGTCCATGGCCAGACTGTAGGTGACATCAGTGACAGCAGCATTGGTGACATTAGCATTTAGTGAAATGACTCATTCAGCAGAAAGTTTCCTTTTCCCTGCTCCTTTTCCTCCTGCAAGCTGGTACCCAGAACAATCTATGTCACTCTGTCCCAAGGTCCCCTTAAGACATTCCCTTTAGCAGCAAATGCTTGTTTTCACTGTGGTCCTCCTTCCAAAGTGCCATCATCAAACGTTACCCACCATATCCTTGATCTGAGAAAGCGTGATCTGCAGTGTGACATTCAGGACTGTGTCTGTATCTTCTACTGGACGCAGGGCATTGGAGTAATCTTCAAAAAGGTCACTGAACAATTTCTGAGCATATTTCCCATCTGCTGTTTCTACAGCTGCTCAAAGAAAGCACCGGGGTCAGTATTTCAAAACAAGAACATCACTGGGATAGAAATGGGGGACAGCTCCACATCAGCTAAAGATGGGGTCCTTTTCTGGCTGGTCCTACCTACTCCCATCATCATGAGTCAGCGAGAGGTTTGATCATGTCCCTGTACTCATGTCCGCTCTTCTGTCTTTCAGACCTTACCCCATCTCCTACCAAAGAAAAGGTTCTAGAGGCATCCATATGGAGCATGGACCTAGACTCTCACCTCTGAGTCCAGAAGCAGCCAAATACACCCAGCAAAAGGAGATGTAGGAATGGGGCCGGTTCATCTTTTCCCAGCCTCTGGAATGCCCCCAGCGAGATAACAAGGACTTCCACTTCCGTCTGGGAAGGACACACAGCACCCTCATCACTGTAGTCACGCAACAGATGGAGACTGCCTGTCCTGCCTCTGGTAAGCTGAGACTGCAGCTCCGGTAACTGGGATGCCAGGAGCTAGGGAGGGGGTTGGTTGGGCAGCGCCACTCATGGGGAGGATTCTAAGAGCATAGCTACCCTCTATCCAGACCAAAGAAAAGGTAGAACAGGAACAAGGGCACACCTGCCAGCTAGAGACTGCATGTAAGCAGAAGCGGGGCTTGCTACACCTGCCACAATTGGATTCAGCTTGGGTGCAGAGTCCAACGGACGCTGAATGACTATAGACTCAGAGTGGACATCCAGAGACCACCCTGCCCTTCTAACAGCATTTGAAGGGGGAGGGTAAATGACTATCCGGTCTCTAGAATAAGTAGATATTGAGTTTCTTTGCTCCCTGCTTCTGATCACCTCTTTCATTGTCCCACTGGGTGCGGATCTCGCAGAGTAGATGGGTAGGAATGTATGTGTGACAGGGTCTGCTAGATGGGAAGAAATTTGTCCCCAGAGGGAGTGGCGGTGTTTCCAATTAGAGTTGGAGTCAAATGCCTGGGCGTGGTGGCACCTATTCAAACTTTTACTGGCCCCACAACTCTGGACAAGCTTCCTGGCCCTTCTGAGTGTCCCTGAGCAAACTGACTAGGGAAAATAATAATCCCTGCCCCCAAAGCTAGCAGTCCACACCTGTGTAAGCAGGATGGTATTGACGGCATGCTAGTGACTTTCACCTCTGCTCGGTTTTGCTTATTTAGAGTGTCTTCATTTACCAAGTCAACCAGGCTTCCAACACTAACCAGATCCTATGAGACTAACTTCTAACCATCATGGTATCACCATACTGCTTCTCCTTTTCACCGAAATGATATTTTATATAGTTTCATTCACTTTTCACATAACTAATTTTACACACACACACACACCAATTTCCAATTGCAGCTGCAGTCTGGGAGCTCATGGCTGTTCTCCTGTCTAGAAACACTGCCATGGAAACCAAATGAAGATAATTTGGTTGCCTAGGATCAAAGCAAGGAAACTGGATAGCTCTATTCGATCAGGTTACAGGTAGCTAATGACTCACCCCATCCCTCTTCAGGAATATATCTCCCACATGGAACAGACATCCAAGTCGTCAGCTGAATGTGTTTCTAATTGTCCACCCACCTCTGTTCTTTGAGAAGACATTATTTTCCCCTCACCCCAATCTTAGTCATCCAGTGACAAGTCCTCAGCCCTGGGACCATGCTTCCTTCAGCAAACAACTGCTCTCCAGTGTCCAAGACTGCGGGTGCCTTCAGAGTTTTGTTTAACACTTCATTTTCCTGTGGGTAAGCCAAGGTCCAGCAGCTAGTGGCCAGTGAAGGGATCCAGGCCACCTACTCCAAACGAGTATGCTCCCAACATGAGCATGGCTGTCCTGTTTTGGACAGTATGGCTTTGGATGCGGGGAAGTGACAGTAGGCTTGCAGGCTAAAACTCGTTCTGTCTTTTCTTCCCACAGTGCTCTGAGCAGGCTCTGGGGAGAGCCCCGAGAACATGGACCTAGCTGTCCTAGTGGCTGCTTTTGGTTTCTTGTGCTCAACTCTGTCCATTCAGTGGTTCCCTTAGAATTAAAAAAAGAAAAAGAAAAATGAGAAAGCTGATGATCACTTCTTATGCTAACTAAGTGTAATTAAATCAAGGCTTAACTAATTAATCAATTAATGGGGGGGTGCCTTGAGTCCAAGATGCCAGCAAATACAAAGCAACCTTTTAAATTCTACATGGACTCTGTCTCTTGACTAAGATTAAGTGTAAATTCCTTCCAAGAATCACCATGGGAGGGCTGGGGAAGTGGCTCAGCTGGTAATCCATGTGCCTCAAGCTCAAGGACCAGAGTTCAAATTCCCAGAACCCACAGAGCCAGGCGATGTAATGTGCGTCTGTGTCTTTGTGCTCCTAAGAGGTGGGAGCAGGAGGACTCCCTGGAGCTCATGGGATAGCGGAGAAGAGCAGAGACCCTGTCTCAAGGTAGGAGGAGCAGCACCCAAGGATGTCCTCCGACTTCCAAAAGTGTGCCGTGATGTACACACACACACACACACACACACACACACACACACACACACACGCATGCACATGTGTTGCCGTGTCCATCCCCACCCACACTGTTTTCTCTCCAACCCCCCCCCCCAACACACACCAGGCAGGGGGAGGAGGAGATATAGCTGCTAAATATTTTCCAAGACTTGCTATTTTCCAGCTAAACTGCTATCTCTCTGCCCAAGTCATAACAACAACAAAGAGAGACCTGGAACTCTGTCTTCCAGGACATTAAGTAGCAGGAGAAATTAGTTGAATTTACTGTGTAAGGTTCAATAAGGCTTGAAAAGTAGGCAGATGGCCTTAGAGAGGATTTTTTTTAATGTGGACTTCCTATATAGCTGAGGCTAGAAGTTCTGGCCCCCCGCCTCTACCTCCTTAATTCAGCAATTAAAAGCATATACCACCTTGCCTGACAGGTTAGCTGAGGAACTCTGAGTAGATTACTTAGTCTCTCCATGCCTCAGTTTTTTCATCTATAAAATGGGGATGATTATGAATGCTTCATGGGAAACCATTCCAAAACCATTACTTGATTATACAACTGTTAAATAAGTAAGCATTGCTGGGAAAAGCACACCATGTATCTATATCTGGATAGATAGATGGATGGATGGATGGATGGATGGATGGATGGATGGATGGATGGATGGATAGACAGATAGATGCTGTAGCTAAAGGTTATTTGATTAATTTTCTTCTCCCTCCAAAAAGACCTCTTTTCTCTCTTTCTGTCTGTCTGTCTGTCTCTTTTTCCTTCCCTCTCTCCCTCCCTCCCCCTACCCTAACTGTCTCAATAGACCTGATTAAAGAACACTTGCTTTATTTGACAAATAGCTTGTACTTTGGGTGAGAGAATTAGAATTTCATTCCTGCTATTTTCTTGTTGCCCTTTTAAAAGACTATTATTTTTGTTTATGTGAACGTGTGTGTGTGTGTGTGTGTGTGTGTGTGTGTGAGAGAGAGAGAGACAGAGAGACAGAGAGAGAGAAAGAGAGAGAGACAGAGAGAGAGAGAGAGAGAGAGAGAGAGCATGTGTATGTGAGTTCCTCAAGGCATTCCAGGAAGCTGTGAGCCATCTGACTGACTGGGGTGCTGGGAATCAAACCCTGGTCCCTGGAAGAGCATCAGGTGCTTTTACCTGATGAGCCCTCCCTCCAGACCCTGGTTGTCCTTTTTATACAACAATGTTAATATTATTGTCAGCCCACAGTAGAGTTGTTTTGTAATAATATTTGAGAGTGGGTAGGATGTATTGAGGCATGGTATTCTGGAGCTCCAGGTCAACCTTGAACTCCTTTGTAAACAAAGTAGCAGGTATGAGCCAGCACACCTAGTGGTATTCGTCTGTTTGTGTATTGTGAGTTACCCAGTCTAAACCTATCACAGAGATGAGCAAATCCTTCCTTTAAAGCCCTAACAGCCAGTATTTTCAGCTTTCTGGTCTCTTTGACACGCGCTCTTCCTGAAAGTTACACTGTGAAAGCAGATGAGCAGCAAAATGAATGAGTGCCTGAGTCCTGAGAAAATCTTACTTACAGCCGGCACAGTGACTCACACGTCTGTGATCTCAGCATTCAGGAGGCTGAGGCAGGAGGATTTCTGGATTGCAGAAGGTGCCAGACTAGACATGTTTCAAAACAATCAAACAAACAAACAGATAAACAGGCAAAAAAAGAAAGAAAGAGAACAAATCTTATTTACAAAAATAGGTGGTGGGTCATGGTTCACTGACCCCTGGGGTACAGGTCACTGAATTCATGAATCCACATAACTGCAGTCAGGCGGAGAGTGCTGGGGTGTAGTGCCCCGTGAAGACCGGGCATTGCCTGCAGGTAGAAGAGAGTTACAGTGTCCACACTGGCATGGGAAGGTGCAGGGCTGAGCCAGGGTAGAAACTCAGCATCTCTCAGCCCTTACTCAGACCGTCTTCCACACAGACTCCAAATACAGGAAACTTTCTAACGGGGAGTTGGAAACGCATGGGACCAAAGCTCCCATGTGCCATGTGGAGGCTTCTAGGGTCACTAGGCAGATTAGGTTTGAAACGCCTGGCCTGTGCCCTCCTGCCTGGCTCAGACCTCCTGGTTCCCTCACTTTGAGGTGTTTTTTTTTAAATCTTACAATGAGTCTCAGGTAGCCCAGGCTGATCTCCTCCATAGCTGCTGCTACCTCAGACTCTTAATCTTCTGCCTCTACCTCCCAAATGTTGGGATCACAGGTGTGTGCCACCACACCCAGCTCCATTTAACCCTAATTTCCTCTTTAAAGAGGGTCCCCACTATAGTCATATGCATTTGTGGGTACACAGTTCAGCACCTAACACTCATATCCAATCGTCAACAGATGCTGGCTGCCCTGCCTGTATAATGTGTCTAGCTGAAATCCAGTCACCTCTCACCCTCTTCACCACTCCTTCTGGTCCAAGGCAGTGCCCAGTAACTCCCACAAGTCCCTCCACACGTACTGTAACAGTCACGAAGTCTCCACAGTGCTGTTCCACCACCATCCACTGGGATGCCTCAGCTCAGCGACTTTTCATCTGAGTAGAACCCTCCCTCCACCGCACACTCTCCCTCACCTCCTCCACTCACCTCGATGGTCTCCCTGGTGCCCCACAGACACACAATACCACCCCTGTTCCAGCCTTGGCTCTTTCTGTCCCCCTCTGTCAGTCAAGGGTATCCTTAGCCACACCCTTCCTGTCTGCCTTGCCTCCGGTTGCCATGCCTCCTTGTAAGAAGTCCCTTCCGGAGGTCGCTGTACTGCACAGCATCCTCTTCCTCCATTGTCCTACTTTTCTTTTCCCCGACACCCGAGAGCCAAGGAAGTGTGTGCCGCATCCATGCACTTGCTCATTTTTCATCCGTCTCCATACTAGAAATTAAGTTCCAGGACAGCAGGGACCATGCTG